AATGTTGGCAGTGGTAATCGCACCGAAAAGGCTCGGTTGAGGAGCTTTACGCGACGTGAGGTCACGCACTGTCACTACATGTGATCCGTGACGCACTCTCGGTATAGTGGCTCTCAGCCTTGAAGTTGCTCTGCGACTACGATCTGACCTCGAAAAGGTATGCTCTTGAATTACCAATTCCCTAACAAAGTGGTCCTGATCACAAAACAGACCGTGCACCCTACTACGAACGTGAACAAACTTGTTCTTGTCGATATGCCTGCAAGGACAGACCAATCAAGCTCTAGCACTGCTGTATGCGACGACGGAGATGATTCGACAGTCACAGCACACGAAAGACACTGGTATGATGGAGAAATGATTATAGTGCAGGTCGAGAAAACCTCCTTTAAACTGCATGCCTCTCGATTGGCCAAAGAAAGTAAATGGTTCAGCGAGAAATTGTCTCTCAAAGGCAGCGAGGATACTATAAATTCGGATGGTTGCAAGATATATGTCGTTGGTCAGGCTAACCTAGGAATTGTGGTAACCAAACGATCTTTCGCTGCTCTTGTGGATGCAATGGAGGACGCAATGTAAGCTACCCAATACTCCCTGATCATCTACTAATTCTTCGGAAAGGGCTATCGTCACCTCGAAAGAATGTAACTTGCCTACAATTCGGAAGCGTGCTTTATACGAGCTCGTCCGGCGTCCAGATTATTGGAAAGGTGGTCTGGAAGACCCGAATGGGGCGTTGCAATCCTTGGAGATTACACTTGCTAGTGCACGACTAAAGCTGACCCAAGAATGGTCCTCGAGAACCTCTCTAGTCATACTCATCCTTGCGGAGGACTCGTCATGCAGCAAATATCTCGAACCTGCTCCTCACGAGTCAGCTTTTGGACATGCGTACACGAGCTATATGCACCACGGTCCAAAAGGCCTTTTCCGTCGACATCTCTTCGATCCGATTGCAGGACTGCTTGCACTATCTAAGAAACAGTGGGAGACCCCTCAAATATGTAGAGGGTGTGTGAAAAGGCCTAAGCGGGATGGATTGCAGATCGACAAAAGCTGTGGGATAGATTGGATGAGTGGCTCGGGCTTGAAACAGTCTCTTAACATCCCGGACACGAAACTTACGCACTTGACAAAAATTACTTATTCGTCCTAATTCCGCGTGATAAAATGTTTCGTTCCCATGTTGAAATCGTTTTCGCCCATGGAGCGCAATGAAATTGAGCCATTTAGCGAATGATTAGGCCGGTGTGGCGCAATGGTAGCGCGTAGCTTTCCTAGAGCTTTTATAAGCTAGTTTGAGGCTGAAGTTGCGGGTTCGATCCCCGTCGTCGGTTTCCTCGTCATTCACGTAGTTAGCTTCCCTATTTTTTCTCTTATCGCACCTGCTTGCAATTTTCTTCCAAGTTCTTGGTCGGGAAATTTTCGGGCCCGCACCATAGATGGATAACTCAGACCCTTTCTTCTTTCTCGACTTATCCTTTGCCCGCTTCAACAACTGACTTAGAAAATTGGGGATGCACGATTCCTAATAGAGTCGGGAGTCCGGTCCGGGACTCTATATTACATTGACTATTTCAAACGTCTCTCCTTCAACAACAAGCGTTCGAACTCTTGCATTGTCAACTAGACCGACCTTATGACGAGTTCAGATCAACGCTCAACGGACTCGCTTCAAATCTCTGTCCTAACCAAAGCTCTCGAAGACGCCCAGAACCGAGTTGCAGTCCTCGAGCAGCAAATCAAGGTATAGAATTTTTTTTTTGAATTCAACTTCATTCAATCTCGCTTAGGCCTTGAATACCTTTTAAAAACCTTGAACAGTTAGAGACTGAGAATTCTCGTCTGACAAAACAGAACCATGACTATAAGGATCGGTCTATTGTAATCAAGAACGAGGTATCTCATAGTCTTTGTGGTTATCTCTCGATTTTGCTGGGACTTACTGGACGTTATGCTAAGGAACAAGTTCCAAAACAGGCCTTATTGGATTCCGGTCACGTCAAAGAATTGGTTCCTCCATTCCGTGCTGTTGAGTTCGATGCATCTGACTAATCTCACGCGTTTCCATAGCAAGCGAAGGCTCAAAGACTTGAAGCAGAGTTAACGGAGTCTGTAGGTGGCTTGTAGTAGTTTCGATACGTTGATTTCTCATCTGCGCTTTGCAGAGAGATAAGCTTGCAAATCTCGAGACCGAACAATTTGAATCGGTACGTTATTTGTTTGTTCGCTCTCAGTACGACTTCCTTCCATTAACGGCATTAATTTACCAGAAAGAAACGGCCCAAAAGCTCACCCAGGAGCTAAAAGAGGCGGTGAGTAGTGTGCATCTCTTTTCTTCTCGGCATCGCCATTCTTGAGCTTGGACGATACCCTAGTTCTTACTGACGTGGGCGTGATACAGAACTCTCGCTCAGATTCACTGTCCTTGGATCTGGATACGGTCAAGACGGAGCATTGACTGCAAAGTACCAAAAGGCAAAGCCTAAGAAAAAAGAGGCGGAATCAGTGAGTGAATGAGTTCACACACCGAAAGGAGGATTATCGATGTTGAGAGATCAGGACCTACCAATGATTCTAGGTCCTCCCGCAAGTCGTTCAGAGGAGAAGAACATACGTGAACATTCACTTTCTTGGTACCTGTCGAAGGCACAGCTCGACTGGTGATATGAATGATGGGAGGTAATGGTACCTGCTTGTTGCCCTTTGGATGAACAAAAACCTGCCGTGGTCTGCTTCCTCGGTTGACCTAGAAGATGATTTTGTTCCTCAGCAATAAAACTAACCTATTAAAGCAGTTGGAACAGGACGTACTGAAGTACGGTGGTGTGAAAACATTAAAAAGAATCTAGATATCTCGAGATAGGAATGGAGAGAAAAAAAGGGGCCGAGTAATGGTACGATTGCAAGGAGGGTCGAAGGGGTCTCTCCAATTTATTTTTATTTTTTGAGCGGCCTTTGGCCATGAGAACATTGATGGCGTGGGTCCGCACACATTTTTCGAAACATGTACATTCATTGAATGAAGTTTTCGTGCAACTCGCAGCTCCTGGCTGCACCAAAAGGCCTTGAAGTACGGATGTTGGCAGTGGTAATTGCACCGAAAAGGCTCGGTTGAGGAGCTTTACGCGATGTGAGGTCACGCACTGTCACCACATGTGATCCGTGACGCACTCTCGGTATCAGTGGCTCTCAGCCTTGAAGTTGCTTTGCGACCACGATCTGACCTCGAAAAGGTACGTGCTTGAATTACTAATTCCCTAACGAAGTATTCCTGATCACAAAACAGACTGTGCACCCTACTACGAACGTGAACAAACTTGTTCCCGTCGATATGCCTGCCAGGACAGACCAATCAAGCTTTAGCACTGCTGTATGCGACGACGGAGATGATTCGACAGTCATAGCACATGAAAGACACTGGTATGATGGAGAAATGATTATAGTGCAGGTCGAGAACACTTCCTTTAAACTGCATGACTCTCGATTGGCCAAAGAAAGTAAATGGTTCAGAGAGAAATTGTCTCTCAAAGGCAGCGAGGATGCTATAAACTCGGATGGTTGCAAGATATATGTTGTTGGTCAGGCTAACCTAGGAATTGTGGTAACCAAACGATCGTTCGCTGCTCTTGTGGATGCAATGGAGGACGCAATGTAAGTTACTCAATGCTCCCTGATCATCTACTAATTCTTCTCCTTAGCAAGTATATGCTGTCAGAAGACTCCATACCTCGTCATGGCGTAATCTGCGATATACTCTATGCTGCTACGGCTCTGGGATTTACTCGCTATCGGGCATGGGCTGTTTCCCGCCTTGAGAAGCATTATTGGTCCTCCGATCTCAAAACTTTACGGACACAGCCTTCATGGACCGTCGAAATCTGCGAAAGGGCTATCGTCACCTCCAGAGAATGTAACGTGCCTTCAATTCTGAAGCGTGCTTTATACGAGCTCGTCCGGCGTCCAGATTATTGGAAAGGTGGTCTGGATGACCCAAATGAGGTGCTGCAATCCTTGGAGATTACACTTGCTGGTGCACGACTAAAGCTGGCCCAAGAATGGTCCTCGAGAGCCTCTCTAGTCATACCCACCCTTGCGGAGGACTCGTTATGCTGCAAATATCTCGAACCTGCTCCTCACGAGTCAGCTTTTGGACATGCGTACACGAGCTATATGCACCACGGTCCAAAAGGCCTTTTCCGTCAGTATCTCTTCGATCCGATTGCAGGACTGCTTGCACTATCTAAGAAACAGTGGGAGACCCCTCAAATATGTAAAGGGTGTGTGAAAAAGGCCCAAGCGGGATGGATTGCGGATCGACAAAAGCTGTGGGATAGATTGGATGAGTGGCTCGGGCTTGAAACAGTTTCTTAACATACCGACACGAAACTTATGCACTTACTAAAAATTACTTGTTCGTCCTCCATGAAACGTAACAGATTCGTTCTCGTTTTCGCCCATGAAGCGCAATGAGATCAGCCCATTTGGTAGATTAATCAGGCCGGCGTGGCGCAATGGTAGCGCGTAGCTTTCCTATTGCTTATACAAGCAAATTGAGGCTGAAGTTGCGGGTTCGATCCCCGTCGTCGGTTTCATCTACTTCGATTATACCTCTTTTTTTTTTTTGCTTTTTGTAGTTTGCTTCCCTATTTTTCGTACTTGCTTGCAATTTTGTTCCAAGTTCTTGGTCGGTAATTTTCGGGCCCGCACCATAAATGGATAACTTCTTCTTTCTCGACTTATCCTTCGCCCTTAGAAAATCGGAATCCAATCCAGAAAACAAGGACGGGATGCATTTCGTCAGGAGTAAGTATCACGAATTTCGATTCCTAATAGTCGGGAGTCCGGTCCGGGACTTTATATTACATTGACTATTTCAAACGTCTTTCCTTCAACAACAATATTGTGAAAGCGTTCGAACTCTTGCATTTTCAACTAGACCGACCTTATGACAAGTTCAGATCAACGCTCAACGGACTCGCTTCAAATCTCTGTATTGACCAAAGCTCTCGAAGACGCCCAGAACCGAGTTGCAGTCCTCGAACAGCAAGTCAAGGTATAAAATTTTTTCTGAATTCAACTTCATTCAATCCCGCTCAGGCCACGAATACCTTTTAAGAACCTTGAACAGTTAGAGACTGAAAATTCTCGTCTGACAAAACAGAACCATGACTATAAGGATCGGTCTATTGTAATCAAGAACGAGGTATCTCATAGTCTTTGTGGTTATCTCTCTCGATTTTGCTGGGACTTACTGGACGTTATGCCAAGGAACAAGTTCCAAAACTGGCCTTATTGGATTCCGGCGACGTCAAAGAATTGGTTCGTCCATTCCGGGCCGTTGAGTTCGATGCATCTTACTAATCTCATGCGTTTCCATAGCAAGCGAAGGCTCAAAGACTTGAAGCAGAGTTAACGGAGTCTGTAGGTGGTTTGTAGTAGTAGTTTTTGCTACATTGGCATTTCATCTGCGCTTTTCAGAGAGATAAGCTTGCAAAGCTCGAGACCGAACAACTTGAATCGGTACGTTATTTGTTTGTTCGCTCTCATTACGACTTCCTTCCCTTAACGGCACTAATTTACCAGAAAGAAACAGCCCAAAAGCTCGCCCAGGAGCTGAAAGAGGCGGTGAGTAGTGTGCATCTCTTTTCTTCTCGGCATCACCATTCTGGAGCTCGGCCAACACATTAGTTCTTACTAACGCGGGCGTGATATAGAACTCTCGCTCAGAATCACTGTCCTTGGATCTAGATACGGTCAAGGCGGAGCTCTCTGCATTGACTGCAAAGTACCAAAAGGCAAAGTCTAAGAAAAAAGAGGCGGAATCGGTGAGTGAATGAGTTCGCACACCGAAAGAAGGATTATCGATGTTGAGAGATCAGGACCTACAATCTCTCCGAGAGAAAGTCGAAGGTCTAGAAGCAACTATTGCCGAGAATCAAAAGCCTGTCACCGCTTTAGCAAGGATTCAGACGCACTTGCAGTTACTTCCTCGCCTATCACAAAAAATAGACCGCATATCCTTTAAACTGCCCAACAAAGTTTCTGCAGCGGCGTTGGCTGATTATTTGGAACGCGTAGTGAGTATCCATCTCACTCAATGGCTATATTTCTACTTTACTAATGGTGGTTTTCCCCAAGGCTCCCAGGGATCCTATATGGTGAGCAGCTCCTTTACTCACAAAATATATTAATTCTGAGGATACCGTTCGAATTAGGACCGAACATTCTCTGATCTTCCTTCCTGTTGGGTATACGAGTCTAAGTGCACAGTGTTGTTCCGACCAGCATTTCCTCGTCTGTGTTCCATTCACGCAGAAGATTCCAAACTCTTCCA